TGGAGAATCCCAAAACCCTGCTGCACCAGCCGTGAGCAACCTCACCTAGCACTGAAGCTGGCCCTGCTCAAGCAGGAGGCTGGACCAGAAGGTCCCCAGGAGTCCCTTCCAACCTATTGTGTTTTATGATCTTTGATCAAACCAGTGAGGGGTGGAAACTTAGCACATGACTGATGGGATATGTGATTTGTACCTCTACATTCCTACACTATATTTGGGATAAACTGAAATCCTACCAAGTCAAAGCTATAACACAGAAAGAATCTTTAGCAAAATGTATCTGACCGAAACGAAAATCACAAATAAACAGCTATGTAAATAGGAAAATTTATCACATGGTAGGGAGTTAATTTTGTGCCACTGCATCTGACTGCTAAATATGCTTGTAGCATCACCTGCTTTATAACGGCACATAAACACTTCCAGACAGTAATGAATAAATATGCAATAATCCTTCCTATTCCTTTTAACCTGTAAAATTGCAAACCTAAATATGTGAATTTCTTCCATAAGCCTTCAGAAAGACAGAACTTTGATGTTTTTTAAAAGGAAATATTATTTACTTTTGCTGCAGGCAAGAAATTAAAATTTCTTTACTGATTCTGCCAAATGGCTATATCATAGGTTCTTTATTTTCATCAAAACAAGCCACTTTAAGGTTGTCCCATAACTACACAGTAACCAACATTTTGGGGGTCAGATCAACTTGATGAATCTCTCTTATTTCTCTGCCCAAAAGACTCCTCCAAATCCAAATGAACCAGAGGGGAAGGAAGTTTTATTCCACACTTGGCAATTACTACAAAGAATACAGGTTGCAGTTTTGTTTTATTCTGTTTGCGTAAGCAGAACAGACAACCCAGTAGTATCCATGTGGTTTTTAAACTAAATAAGCTGAATTCAAACACAGTGGTTAATACACCAAAAACAATGGACCTTAATTAAGGAACAGCAAAACTTGCAGGTGAAAGAAGAGAAAGAAGAAGAAAGTAAGGGAGCAAGAAGGTTTTAAAAAGCAAAATAACTATGCAAAAATCTGCACCGATACAAAACGCAGAACACATTTCATATACCAATACACAAGATACTTTAAAACTGGGAGCCAAGTCCTCCTGTACTAACAGAGAATTTGCAAAGATACAGCTCTTCAGTATTCAGCGTACCAGGATAGTTTCTGGTTTTAACTACACTGAAGCCCATGAGCACAGACAAAATCCAGACCATCATCAATCTAGAGACAACAGGCAACACTTGACAGCACAGCATCTCATCAATCTTCATTTGTCCCATCGCATCCTGTCATTCTTATGCAAATAGCATATTTGAGGACACATCTTTTCTGCACCCCACAGTAAAGAGAATTGAAGCTGTCAGGAGCACCAGGATGTCCTATATTACAGGCCATCACTTCACTCAGTGCCTCGTGTTTTACATCACAGCTTATGTGTCTGACATTCAAATCTGGCCCAGCAGGAGGTAAAACCATCTGACCCCCAGCAACATGCATCTTGCTTCCTGTGCTAAAACATTCACTAAGGTCCCCAGGTCGGACAGCCTCTCTGCTTTCACTGTACCCTTGCTAATGGAGATTGAAAATTCTTCAGAGGAAAAAAGATACCTGCATGGGCAGGTAATGCTAGCAATTCACCCTTCTCACCCAAGAAATAAGCCCAGTACTAAAAGGCTGGGAAAACAGATTCCACTGGAAAAGAATAAAAAGACACAGAGACCCTGATGAGTTGGTCCAGGTTCTCTTTCATGGAAATTTTTCAGACTACACCTGAAAATTTGTCTACATATATGTCTGAGTAGAACATTTAATTTCAACCTAATAGACAGTGTTCAAAATACTTTATGCAAGGTTTGTGGGGATGAGTGATCTCTCCTGTTAGGCCAACTGATACAGTTGGGAACATACAGAAAGTACGGAAACATAAGCAGCTCCATAAAATTACTGCAAAATATTTTAGGTATGAAAAAAAATCACTCCTGAGTGGATAAGTCACCAGAAACAAAAAGTATTTACCAATTATCACTTACAGATTCTACTTCAGGAATGAAGAATAAAAGGGAAGATTTTACTATTATTACTGACTCAGAGTGTTTTGTTTCTGTATCACTTTCAAAGAATGTTCAGAACATCTTGTTCTCAAATATTTCCCTTCCAAGAGGAATCACTTTCTGTATCATACATGGCTGAAAACTGTACACGCTGGTTTTGTTTTCTTATGAAAAACAGAAACCATCCTCACGTATTTCCAGCATCACATGAATGAGATGCAAAGTAGCTAAGTGCTACAAACGTGCGACACAACTTTGTACTGAAATATTATTCTAACCCTATGATGATATCTTAGGCAAATTACCTTATTAATAGACATTCATAGCAAGTCAAAACACATTTACTGTTAAACCTAACTTTTTATAAAGTCTGACTCAAAAGCTATTCACTACCCAAAACAACATACTGTTGTATTTACAGAGATGGTGAAGTCTGCGCTAGGCTCAAGGGAATACCCTTACATTTGATATTCCCAAATGCTGCTTTCAAATTACAAAAGAATAATCATCACATATTTGTCAGTTAAGAAGCAATCACATAAATGAAGATCCTGAATGGATTATTACCGATTTTGTAAGTGCATATTGTAAAACCTACAAAGCATGCATTCCTCAAGCATTTATTGATTTCAAAAGTGAAAAGGTAGTCGCAAGAAGTACACCAGACATATTCCCAGCCCTTGGAAGGAAAGAACACAGACTGCCTTGCGTCTGTATATCATATGTAAAGTTCATGCATTAAAATTACTGTATAGTCATCACACACCTACGAAAATAGGGCACGCACTTATTGTAATATATGGCTGAAATATATAAAATATCAAATTGATTTAACAAAACATTACCTTTTCAAAGGGATCACTGATCACAAAGTAAACTAAAATCCCATACTGAAAGATTTCCTATGAAGTGAAATTCACAGTACAAACTTTCTGGTGCCAGACTTCTTTCTTCCAGGATTAAAAAATAAAAGAATAAAATGTGCAACTCAGGCACTGCAAATATTACATAGACCCAGGACATGGTGGTGGGCTGGTATAGCCTATCTGGTCTGGATGAAGCATGACGCAAGCAATACCAACTCATGTGACTCTCCAGTCCTTTAAATCCCAGTTTAAAACCCCCTTTCCTCCAGACTGGTGGAACTTTGTTCTGCTACTCTGTAAACAAATATTTCTACAAAGCCACCATAACTTATTATACCTTGGTAAAAATAGTTCTAAATAAAAATCAAAAACATCCATGGTTTACTGCTAATTCCTATAATCACACAGCTTGCTATTACGGGTGGCACTGTCTCTTTACATTTAGAGTCCAGACTGCCGACTTTATTAGGGAAAAGAACACATAAGATATGTTGTCATCTAAACACAACTGTACTGTTAGTTCTTTAAAGTTTACCACCCCACAAAATTCAGATGCACAAAAAATGCCAGATTTTTACCCACCATATTAAAATGAAAACTTTAAGCACTGGACTAAGTGTTCTGGATTTGCACCAGTGATGTAGGTACAGCTGGCATATATCAATAACCTAGGTATTGCAGTGTGGTACCCTTAACACATGGTAGTACTGCCCTAATATTGCCAATATTCCAAATATATACTGTCCCAATATACCAATATTTCAAATGAAAGCTAAAATATATATAAAAAAAAAATAGCATTCACTGCAGGCCCAAGAGAAATCCAGCAACAGGGAGAATGACAGAGCTGAATTCCCAGGTAGTGACACAGATAACACAGTACAATGTTGAACTTAGAAATTTCCCTTCTGTTCAACAAACAGAATTTTTTCAAATCCAGCTCAGTCCAAACCCAAAGAATAGTAGCCAAAGAAAAATTCAATCTGCTTGGCAAAAGTGGAATTTTGAAAATTTCATTTTTGCACAAGCATATTTTTCACTGAATATTTTTCATATTTTTATTATCTTTTACTGAAAACTTTCTGATAACTCTACTTTGCCTTGGCAGGCACACTTTGTCAGGACAACATCAGCTGTGTTCTGATCACAAAAAGCAAGGTTTTTTTCCCTAAGATTTCATGTGTATATGAACCTTACTTTAAAATGTGTGCTTCATACATGTTTTATGCCCAAATGTCCCAAGACAAACAGAAAATCTATTCCAGACACATCTTAAAATGGGAGAATCTGTTAACATTAAAAAGATTTAAGAAACCTGTAAGAAATCCCAGAAAAGATCCGTAACAATCAATTGCATTAACCTGTCATCAAATTCATAATGTTGCAAAGGTGAAGAGTTGTGGAATAAAGAACCTCACCAACACTACAAAATGTATCACAAAGGAAATCACTTCAGACTGGTCCCATCTACTGCACTTAGCTGTGAGAAGACACAGCAGTGGGAGACAGTTTTAAAGTGGACTTTCTAGAGGGCTGCTGGGTTGGTTTTGGAGGTTTCCCACAGTAAGTGTTACAACCCTCACATTTTTATTAACTTGAAATGTTCTTGTCACTCCAGAAGAGATGTTGCAGGACCTAAGAAGAATTTGCACTGTTTACAGTTAGAAACCATATTGCTAGCAGCAGGCTAATGGAACTACTGAAATACTTAATCTTTCGAAAGGAAGTAACTAATGAAACCAACAAACTCATGCATAAATAAACACAACAGAAGCAAAAACTACAGAAGCAGTTTGACAGAAATGTTGTTGCATAAGTTCAATGAGCTTGTGCTTAGCTAGGAAAAAGATACTTAAGGCTATCACAAAACATTTTGTTTCCGTTAAATATTCTGTAGAGAGGAAAAAAAAAGTGAGGGACAATCTTTGCTTTTGCCTTTTCTTCATTTGAAAACTTCTACTTTTAATCATTAAATTGACTAGACAACAGTTTGGAGAGAAACACAGAAGGGAATCACAGCAAAATCTGGTCTTCTCCGGAGAACAGGATATACGACAGTGCATCCACTCGTACCTTGTCTATCATGTCCGGTCTGTTTGTAGCTGCCAAAATTGTCACATCCTTCAGCTGTTCTATCCCATCCATTTCCGTCAGCAACTGAGCCAAGACACGGTCTGCTACATTTCCAGCACCTGAAGAACTGATTAAAAGAAATAAAAAAAATAAAAAAATGTCCCAGCATTAGCTTTTGCTTCCTAGAAAACTGGAGAAAGGAAAGAACATCCTGTTCTTTTCAATTTACAGGGATCCATCTCTTTATCTGCATTCCTTCTGGTTTTTATTTTCACGTTCACTCCCTGAAACTGTTATCAAGTCATGTGAAGTGAGTAAAAGTAAACTGCAGAATTAGTCCTTCAAAGGAGTTCTTGGTATTCAGCAAAGCAACTGAGGTTTTCTTACTTCCTACTCTGCTATGTAGGTTATAAACAGTTTAAGACAACATGGATGTCTGGAATATTTCTAAACTAACTGAATTTCCTTCTTAGTCAGACAAACTTTTGGTTTTAGCACTATCCAAAGGAGTGCTTACATCACGCTATGCAGTACAAAAATTAGGCAGTTATGTATTTTGCAGAGTTGCTCTACACTTTTATGTTCTCCCCACCAAATGAGAATAATTCAAGTGCCTCCTAATAGCATTGTCAGTCCTTTAACTCAGCTGATTCTAGATACCAGGAAAACAAAAGAAAAAAAACAAGACTGAGAAACAGAAAATTCCAGTTTTGACATCACCAAGATCTGAAAACCCTGAACAGACAAAGCATAACTATTCGAGCAGTTTGTTTTTTTGTTGGTTTTTGTTGTTGTTGTTGTTTTTAATTTGGAATCAACTATGGTAACCTTAAAGTTTATAGAAGATTCACTCAAATTGCTTAACTATATGTAACAAAAAGCATTCTAGAAATAAACTATTGTTTTCATTAAAGCTTCCAATATTTTAAAAAGAATAAGCAAAGGATGTACCACCTTGTTCCTAGCCAATTCTTTAATGCATATAAATATGTGCACACATACATATATGCATGTATCTGCACATATTCACACATAAAACAAAGAACACAGAAAAGGAAGACATTGCATAAATCAAACCAAGAGAACAAGCACTGACGTTGCGATAAATAATACACCTCATGAGCAGTTGTGTTCTTTATAACATTGTTCTAATTCTTCATAAAGAGATTTTATTTCTGAAATGTTATTAAAAAAACATAGGTGATCACCCACCATATCATTTTTTTTGTTTTTGAAAGGACACTAGACCTAGGAGATACTAGGACCACACACAGGTAACTGTATACACTCATGTTGGCAGATGCACTACACAAATGATATATGTGTTTCTTGTAGTACCCAGCAACCTAAACACTGGTTTGCAAGAAGGAATATTAGATTTTAAAAGATAAGCACTTCAGTTATTTCCAGCAGATAGAGAATACTCATAGATAGTTGCATAGTTATTACACACATATATTGCTGCAGCACTGCCATCTATCACCAGCATGCTTGCAACTAAAGTGCTTCCTAAATGTATCAGAGCCAAAGCAATAGTAACAACTCTGTCATTGCTCTACAGATGTCCTCCAAAGGAATTCTCTTGTTCTCCTATTCAACACCTGCATTCTATAATTTTCCAGTGCAAAACAGTTAACTTATCAGACCCAGTCTGGAAAGTATTTCTGAAATGTCAGCTAACAGAGTATTTAGGTTGCTAAGATATATTAGAGAAGGGACTTGGGTTAGGTAATTGTCAGCTTTTTTGGTTTGCTGCAGCCGTGTCAGAAATTCCCAGGTGATATTACAATATTTCTAACACACCCATGGGTCATGGTCCAACTGACTTACAGAGGGTTGAAAATGATAAAACATTTCAGGTGTTAGACAAGGACAGTAAATGCTTTTTGAAGGACACATCTTAAAGGAAATTAAAATCAACTTTGTAACCTAAGCTTGTCTCAGTAGGGATTCAGGCCTTCCATTTTGCCTAAATTTCACGTTTACTCATACCCAGCAGACTGCACACAAGAAAAAGCTAAGCAAAGGAAAAAACGAGATGATCTGAAACTAACACTAGAGGACTTCAGGGGAAAAGGAAAAAATATTTGGTTTTAAAGAGAGGTGGCTAGAACAGATATTACATCTCATCTTTCCCCCAATATAAACAGTTCCCTTACAAGCTTCAGACTGAAAAAAAAAAAGTAAAATTAGTGTATATCGTAAAGAAAACCCACACTGTTATAGGGCAATGTACATTGCAAAGACTTCCATGCAATTAAGAAGCAAATAATCAGAAAACTGCAGTTAAGCAAACACCGATGGCATCATACAGCTCAAACAATGAAGGGAGATACCAGGGCATTGTTTGGTTATTGCTAAAAGTGGAGGGAAAAAGTTTTAAAACCAGCCATGCAAAAATATCAATAACACAAACAGTACCAAATGAAGAGATGTCTGGGACCTATGACACCAGGAATTTCCAATTTCACTGCTTTTATTTACATTGTTCATTAACCTGCCATATGATGCACCATTTTTAGAACAGAGTCTACAGTAAATTAGCTTTTGGCTGAATAGGATACCCTATAAAAGTCACAGGCAGGCACAGGTTTACAGTGAGAGATCCCTTTGGCAGCTGCTGAGAGCTGCACCATGCACTCCAAGACCTCTAGTGCTGCCTAAGCTGTTAATCTGAAGGGTGACACGCAAGTATGCGTTTTTCCATTTTCCCATGTTTTCCCAGCAAGGATTTTAAATTAACACAGGCAACATTCGTTAAAGCTCCCTGGACTTTTGACGCAAACGGCAGCCAGAGAAACAAGTTATGATTAACACTCCAGTCCCACGGAGGCCCTGCCAAAAACAACTTCCAGCTAAGGAGCCGTGTTTTCACCACCACCACCACCACCACCTGACCTCCACACATTGATGTCATCATCACAACTGCATGGAAATAGTCCTCAAAAGGCACGTCCTGGTACAATCTAATTTCCTGTCAACACACTGCCTGCAAATCCAGGCAGTCAGAGTTAAGCCACTCACATAACCCATGCAGGGTGACATGTGCATGGGTGCACATATGCAAAAGTTGTGCCCTTAACCAGAAATACCTTGAACTTCAAAATAAGAAATGTGTGAGCAAAAAGGAATCTGGCTGCTCCGTAAAGGCGTGAGAATGTCAACTCATCTCTTATGTTGCCCTCATGAAATACATCTGTCTGTAGGCTATGTATTATTCTTTTTGCTAGCCCTCGATGAAGGAGTTTTAAAGGTAAAAAAAGTCTTTGCTTACTAGTTTATTACACCAGTTAGAGCCAGATATTCTCCTGTATGTGATATTTCAGCTAATCCTGCAAGTGTCCCACCGGTCTCAGACCAAGCACATATGCGCTCCTGCTCAGGCACTTCACTTGACCATCAGAGAAGCTTCCTGAATGGCAAAAGCCCCTTGGGTAAGACTATTCATGGATTAAAACAACTATTGAAGGTGAATATGAAAAACAAAACCTGTTCTTGGTATTTTATTTTAGCTAAAGGTACTTTCAAAACACATTTTGACAGAATAAAACACTTTTACAGTGTACCAAAGCCTCACAATTAATCTGAATTAACTCTGGCCTTGTCTGATGAAACTGAGTGATCATGAGCCCCAGCTCCAAATTCAATATAGCAGGTGAGAGCACTTCACAGAACACTTTCTTATCTCCTTTAGCCTTATCCAAAGACTGCTCTAACCAGCTGGATTCAGATCTCAGTGAGCACTGACATTTCCCCTTAGACACCTTAAGCCACTCTTATACATCTTCCTGGGCATATAAGCCACTCTCATACACCTTCCTAGGCACACAAAAAGCAACCACAGCCTGATTCTATCACTGCATCATGGAATACATACAGTTCCTTAGCTTATATAGCTCTTCAAGCCAAGGAGATTTTGTTTCTGGATATAACCAGATGTATGAAATCACTGGATTGAAATGTTATGCTTCTTGCTACAGACTTTTTGTTTGTTTGTTTGACAGCAACTGACTTTCTTCATACACTTTTAATTGCTTACCTTGTTTTTCTATCCCCCCTATCTAAAATATTTTTTAACACTTGAAACCTAAAAACAGTTCTGAAAACGTAGTCATTATGGTTTCACCTCATGGTGAAATTTGGTAAGCATCACCGCTGCGAGCTAAAGCAAACATACACTTGCATCATCTGACAACCTAGAACACTTCCAAAGCCAATGGAATTAATGTTTTTTCACACCACCAGATGTCATTTTCATTGAAAAAAATGTATTTCAGTCTCAATCACCATTTAAATCCTGTTAAGAACCACTGACTCTCCATCCCACTACTCAGACAGGCACTGAGGCCTGTCTGAGCACCTTACCTTCAGAATCAGGACCTTAATTCAGTTATGTTGCTAAACTGCAGATGTGGAAATTGAAGAAACAGTCACACAACATTTTGAGCACTCTAAAATCCACAGCAACTGTAAAGCTACAAAACCAGAAGAAAGTCTGGGAGGGCCCCTCTCCTGCAAAGCCCCATTTCTACACAGATGTCCCTACCTCAGGCAGATCCATGAGGTCAAAGAGGCAGACCTCAGGAGAAATATCCTGGATAAATTACTGCAGAGGGATTAATTGCCACACAGCTGAAATCTGTAACACGGGTTTTGTGAGAAGGGAGTACAGGCCAGCTTTTTTCCAAAATGTCCTATCAGACAAGACTTACATACAGATGAAAGCTGTTTGTCTTTTTTTTCCTCCTGACAACAGAATCACAAGTATAATCCAAATTTCAGGGTTTTAAACACACTTGTGGATGTGCTATCATCTCAAATCCTTATCTCACTGGAATCGCTGGAAAGAATTTCTTATCAAAGCAAATATAAAACTCATTGACATGACAAAATGGTTGGTATAAAAAAATTATTTTACATTGAAATAGAATTTTCTGGCAGGACTCTCCACTTCCCCACAAAATATGGAGGTAAAAGGTTCCTGAAATACCCAAGCCCCCTGCCAGCACACTTCCATGAGAGCTGCCTCACTCGCAGAGCCTGAAGGATTTTTATTAAGTCTGACATTTTTGTCAGGGCTCTGCAGGGGTAACCTGTCAGCAAGGAGCAACCCCCAGGTCTGTTTTG